TTGTTAATTGTTACTGAATGCGAAATTTAGTTGGATGCCTGCTCAAAAACCTTGAAAGCTCTTTTGTTGGCCATCTCAGATTATGTATTTAACAACAAACTAAATATTGCTGTGTTGTTTCTGCCATGCTGCTGTTAATTACTAGATTTCATTGTTTATATACAAAACGATAAATAAACAAAACTGAACCATGAATTCCTGCAAGCCAAATAGGTGAGTTGTGCGCTGGCATAACATATATTTAAATGACCCTTTTTTATTGGCTCCGCCAGCCGTTTGTCACCCCGTGCGGGTCTATGTAAATCAGAGTTTCTGCAATTGCAGGCGACACTCGAATGGCCGCTGCAAAATAAATGCGACAAATATTTTTGTTCGTTGCACAAATATTGTTTGTTATGTTATATGGTTCAGGCAGCTCCATCTGTGCGAAATGCAAGTGGACAAAAGCCAAATGAATTTCATATATTTTATTTTATTGCCTTTGATTGCGATATTGTCATGCGTTTGACTTGCKCCCCTTTATTGTCTTCCRTTGGACAATTAAATGTGCCAAATATATTTATTGTTTATTTATGATTATGATTTTCAAATTCAAGAAKTTTAACGAACTTTAACTTTATTGCTYCAATTCATTTACAAATTTCTTTGCGCTTTATGATAKTTCATATTTATTCATAGAATGTACATAAACAATTAAATTAAATRCGCCCTTTTAAATTTCTGCACAGCTCTGAAATATTTAAAAGCAATTTGCTTTAAATTCGCCAAAGCATTTCTGTCTGTCTCCTCCCTTGATGCGCACTGCGAAAAGAAAGCAATAAAGGCCTTTAAATATTTACACACTCACACAAAAGCGCAAACAAACAAATACCCGCACTTCCCTCACATCCGTCCCTTCTGCCCGCGGCACAGAGGCATCCTTCATGCTCATATGCAAATAAATGCTAAGCACAAGACGTGGCTGGGCGTAAGAAGATGCTGCTCCCATCTCGACTTTTGCTTGAGTGCGTTGGTTATGCCTTGATTTTCGATCGCATGCGTGGTTTTTCAGCCGCACAGCACAGCACAGCAGCGCGACGCGACGCGGCGTATACTTGATAGATTTCAAACAAATTCTCAAATGTATGCATTTNAAGTGACTGATGGTGTCGGAGCGATTTGGCGACGCAGCTATTCCCAGACCTATGCCTGCATGTATGTTCCAGGCCGCAGCTTAGCCCCGCACTGCCGCCAACAGCTGCAGCGCTCGCCTTGCGCTTGTCACACAAATTTCAGCAACACTTTCGCTGCGCTGTCTGTGGATGTGTCTGCCTCTGTCTGTGTGTTGCCATGTACATGTCAGTGCTTGTCTAGCCCCCTCAAGTGCCCTCAAACCTCGGGGCCACAAACCCAATTCCGATTGCAAGCCAAATCCCAAAACGTAACCTGAAACATGCCCGAGCCAGACGCAATGCACTTTATGTTTTAATGCTGCTGCTGATGACGGCGCCAGCGTCTCGAGGCTGTTTCTCCTGCTTGTCCTTTTCACAGTCTCCTGCCCACTGTGCCCGCCTCTGSTCTCGCTGCTGCTGCTGCAACGGCTGCTGCAACGATTGTCAACGTCATCATCATCAACGTCTGCCCTTGTTGCCGCTAATCCATGTCAGGGTCCTGCTGCAGTGATTCTCGCACTTGTTGTTGTTGTTGTTGTTGTTGTCAAGTGCAAATGTCTCTGTAAAATATGCAAAGACATAAATATTTCAATGAGGTTGACTGTGTGTGCGTCTGATAAAAACTACAGCTTGTTGAATATTAGAGATGAGCACGAATATCAGAATAAAAATATTATTTTATATAGAACAGAAATTTATTTCAATTCTTGGAAATTAGACAGTTGTTAAAGCAACTTTCCATCGAATTACTGGGAGCACTGGACATTTTCTTGGAAAATGTGACTACTATTCATAGAACGGCAATTTCTCAGTTGGGAAACTTAAACAGAAATCATTTCAGACCAGATGAATTGCCATCCTGTTGTTGTCATTACATAATCACACAGAAAGTATTTTGTGAGAATAGTCATAAGTACATCGGTCTAAGTTCAAGGCACTTAAAGTCTCAAAAGCTTAGTTAAATGCGGAACTTCAGGGTCATACAAAGTAATATAAAAGTAAAAGATTGCTAAAGTCTCGTAACTTGAGTATTCGCGTAAATAAATGTAATAAAAATGTAATTTATGCATATAACAGTGTAATTAAAGTTCACTTATCTGGAAGCAATCAATTCCAATTCATTTTACTGTCCAATCAAGAGCAAGACCTTTAAGTTTAATGAAACAAGTTACTGCAACTAACGATCACTAATTATCGGGTAGTTAAGGCAAACTACACTTGAGCAAGTTTATATATATATAAAAACATTTTTTGCCAAGGATATCAACTAAAAACAGGGAACTGTGATCCAGTCACAGTGATCGAGTCGCAGTTTCGGCATTGCTGTCGTCTTCGACGCCCTTTATCCACTGGCTGTGCACGTGCTTATTAGATTATGTTTTGTGAGTGGGCGTGGCAAGGTTAATGCCACATTTGCTGCTACAAAAGGGCTGCTGCAGCCGCTTGTCCGACTGACCCCAGCCAATTACACATGGATAGCTCACTCGAAATTGAATTTCTGGCTAGATAAACTTCAACAGTGGAGATGGCGAGCTATTGCATTGCATGTCGCATGCACTTGAGTTCTGTTTTCTAATGTGCGTGCAAGCAACATGCAATTTTGTAATAGACGAAGCTGCAATCATTTGCATACTAGTTACGGCATTGCAGCAGCTACATACATATATTGCTGCTGACGTCGTTGTTGCCATTGCTTGCCTTAGTCGGTTGTTTGTTGGCCGAGCAAGCAGCAAAATAATATTCACTGTCAAGTTTAAGCGGCATTAGTCGGCTCATATAACTATCTGTAGATATATRGYTATATGTATATATAGCTATGATACTTGAATGCTAGATAGTTTTTCCACTGAGACTRAGCACGACCTTTGCGGCCGTTTGTTGTATTATGGCAGTTCTCTTATAGGCACGTTAATTAGTAGCTAGATTTACCAAACCTGTTTTCCGAGTCTCACCAACACACACACACACACAAACTCATCCACAGTCAATGAGTGA